GGCAGGTATCCATCATTATAGCATTACACAGCCTTTGTGCCTCGCCTGTTCATCCCTCCCCACCCCCACCCACAACCCTTGGTTACCACTGATCTTTTTACTGTCTCTGTAGCTTTGCCTTGTCCAGAATGTCATCTAGTTGAAATCATGCAGTACGTAGCCTTTTCAGATTGACTTCTTTCACCTGATGATATGCATCTAAGATTCATCCATGACTTTCCATGGTTTGATAGGTCAATTCTTTTTAGCACTAAATAATATGCCATTGTCTGGTATCACAGTTTATTTATCCATTCATTTACTGAAGGATACCTTGGTTGCTTCCAAGTTTGGGCAATTATGAATAAAGTTGTCATAAACATTCACGTGCATATTTATTTTTCTATCCCTTTGGGTAAATGCCAAGGAGCAGGATTACTGAATTGTATAGTAAGAATATGTTTATTTTTTAAATTTTATTTATTTACTCATGAGAGACACAGAGAGAGAGGCAGAGACATAGGCAGAAGGAGAAGGAGGCTCCGTGCGGGGAGGCCAATGCAGGACTCGATCCCAGAATCCTGGGATCATGACCTGAGCCAAAGGCAGATGCTCAACCACTGAGCCACCTAGGTGCCCAGAATATATTTAATTTTGTAAGAAACCATCTGACTGTCTTCCAAAACTGCACCTCACCAGCAATGAGTGAGAGTTTCTATTGCTCCCCAAACTTGCTAGGATTTGGTGCTATTGGTGTTCCATATTTTGGCCATTCTAACTAGGTATATAGTGGTATCCCGTTTTAATGTGCTTTTCTCTGATGAATATGATGTGGAGCATCTTTTCATATATTTATTTGCCATATTTGTTAGGTTTGAAGATTTCTTTGTAAATTTTAGATAACAGTCCTTTATCAGATGTATAAATGTTTTCTCCCAGTCTGTGACTTTTCTTCTTATTCTCTTGACACTGTCTTTTGCAAAGCAGAAGTCTTTAATTTTAATGAAGTCTAGCTTAGCAATTATTTCTTTCATGGGTGGTGACTTTGGTGTGACATCTAAAAAAATCACTGCCATAACCAAGGTCACATCGGTTTTTGTCCTATGTTATCTTATAGGATTAATATAGTTTTGAACTTTACACTTAGGTCTGTGACCTATTTTGAGTTAATTTTTGTGAAGAGTATAAGGTTTGTATCTATATTCAGTTTTTTGCACACAGATGTCCAGTTCCTGCACAATTTGTTGAAAAGACTCTCTTGACTCCATTGTATTGCCTTCCCCCTTTATCAAAGATGAGTTGAATATATATATATATATAATTGGCTTTTGAGCCATAGAAATACAACCGTTGACCCAAATGGAGGACTGGCACTGACTTGTTAGCCCAGTGTCTATCACCTCAATATTACCGGCTATTATTTCCACTTTGGGTATAACTGGGGACTGTATGCAACCAAGAAAAAAGGTAATTTAAAACTCTGATGCAAACTAAAGGAGGCTCCTTGACATTACAAATATAGGATATCCCAAATATCTTTTGCTTATTGTGGTAGATATTCTGATATACAGCCAGGCCGCATTCAGGACTGAGGATTTATTCTCCAGTTGCTGGGAATGTTGCCAGCAGAAAGTTGGCAGGTAAAAGTGCCCTCTGGGGCTTCAGGCTGAAGAGAGCCACTTTGCCCAAACTCACAACCATTTTCCAGGGAAGTCTATAACCAATGACTGAACAATATGGGAACACCAAAATCCAACCCCTTGGCCCCAGTCAGGGAAAAATCTGAAGGATCATCTCAGCCTCACAGCACCTGAGGCTTTCATTGGAGGTGACTGAAACCCAGATTAACTTCTCCTGCTGGCAAACATTCTTCCATAGCTTCCGTTTTATGGGAGCTGACCCCAAGAGCACTCCCTAATAAATCTCCCGCCCGCCCGCTAATCTCTGTCAGAATCCACTCCTTAAGAACTCAACCTACAACAGTTAGTAATTGAATGTTGCACTGAACTACTGTCTTTACAGAGGACTAAGAATGGAGATAATAGGGCTAAAACTCAAGGTTTGGGAACTAGGTTGTAATACAAGGTGTGGGATTGACCAAAAATGATTCTAAATTCTCACTGCCTGAGCAGTGAGCTCCCGCCCCCCTTCTCCCTGTGGGAGGTGTTGTATTACCTATGTGTGGGGACCGTCATATCCCGGGGCCCAAATTGTCTAGGGTTTGAGCAGCAGGTAATCTGAGACAGCTCCTATAAATAGCTAAAACCCCAAACCAGATGGCCTAGCACAGAAGTGGTTTTATTACTCCCCCTGACAAAGCTGCTGTCTCACATCTACCCTACAAAAGGCAGAACAGCCGACAGAGCAAGTTCTCTTCACTGGAACATAGGACCTTGCCTCCCTGCAATCTCCCACATGTCTAGTAAACACCCAAACCTCTGCAAGCCTCTCAGAGGGTACACAGAAGGAAGAGCAGGGGCTCCTCTTCTCTCACTGACACTGGCCTCACATTGCTTTTCCTTTCTCCACAAAAGTCTGTGCCTTTACCCACATCAGCAGTGTTACAGAATTTATCTTGAATTGTCATGGCTGACAAATGGAGATTTGTATGAGATCTTCCTTGTACGACAAGTATAAGCACGAAGGCATGAATTCTACTTAGTACCAGTTATGATTTTTTTTTGAAATGTAAAAGGGCATAATGGCTACAATCCCTGTAATGAAGACAGATCACTGGGAGAGCCAGGAGAAGGGGATGGATGGATGTCCCCAAAGCCTGAAAGAAGATAGCTTGGTGTGAGAAGTCACCAGTGGCTGGCCAGATCTGACTGCAAAAGCAGCACCTCTCTGTAGTGGTCCTGAGAGATCCTTCACTCTTGCCAAGACAACAGCTAGATGGTCCAGGGAGCCTGTACCCTAGATGGAGGAGCTACACCCAAGCTCAACTTCCCCTGGGACCATTAGCTTCCTTCTCCCAGCAGCAGAGAATGCACTTTCCTCAGGATTCCTTAGGCCCTGAATACCTGGGCAGACAGAAGCCCTCAAAAAAGCTATATTCCAATCCAGATAGCCTGACTCCAGGTTAGCCTGATACTTCCCCTCAGTCAAGGGAGCTTACCTTGCTTTATATAAGGGGAGACTAGTAAAGGGATTGAGGCCATGGCTCTGTGAGATGATGGGAGGAAGTACCTTTTCTTCATTCTGACCCTGACTTCATGCATCTCCCTTTCTCCTAGGAGAAGTTATTGCTTGATCAGAGCTCCAGAACATTGTGCAATTCATCCCAGGCCCTGGTACAAGTAAAACCCCAGATTCAACCCACCTTGCCTACAAAAGATCATCTAGTATTTCTTGCAAAAAATATCTTACAACTTTATGTATAGCTTTCCCTATTAAAACAGGTTCACATGCATGAACTCAGTAAGACCCACATCAGCCTGGTGAAGTTGGCAAGGGAGAGATTATATAATCCACACATTTTCAGAAAGAAAAATTGGAACAAAGGACAATTGGAATAAAGGACATTTTCCTTCCTGATTTATGAAAAAAATCTTATAAATACATAGAGCTTGAATCATAGCTACTTTAACAGGTAATGAATTATCTTTTTAAAAAGGATAAAATTAAATGAAGCTTGTACTACCACAGAAAATCCTGGAATTATCAGCAGCATGATTATAGGGCATGAATAAACCCTGCAGCTTGTTTTAATACTTTTGATAAAAGCTGTAAGGAGAGAGAGAGATATAAGATGTTCAGAGACTTAGATGAAAGGAGTTTGGAGAAAAGTAGCTAAAGTTGAGAGAAAGTGATTGATAGTAAAGTACAGACCAGTCTATGATTGGGATGGTTAAGGTCAGTCAGCACACTCCATGTAGTCTAGAAAGGCAAACACAACTTCAAAAATGTGCCCCCAATACACTGAGTGATGTACCTTCCCAGGATAATGTGGCATTATGGAATAGTGTGTTCTTGTTCCTCCTCTTCTGAAATACCTAATTTACTTCTCCTATCCTTGAAATAGGAAAGCATTTCAATAAAAAAGGATCCATTCAATAAACACACTTATCAAAGGCCCACATGGTGCTAGATATTTGTTGGAGGCCAAATACAAATAAGCCAGTTTATTTTGTGAAATAGACCCATCAATAACTCATCACACTAGAGTATGATGAGTAATGGAAATGGGTCTCCTGAAGAGCATGAGTAATGGCTACTGATCTGAGAATTAGCAAATATTTTGCTTTCTACATAATTGCATAACTGCCATGTATGGGGAGAGATGCCACCCATTGAGTCAATCTTCCTATAAAATTAAGAAGGAACATGAGTTTTATTCTTCCTGAACTGTGCCTTTACTTTGTACTATAATAATGTTGCCATCAGGAAGCTATGCAGGATTGTCCCTCTGAGTTTGTTACTTTTCATAGAATCACTGGTGTTTAAACATAGAAGGGACTCCAGAGACTACCCCAAACTCCACACTGCACAAAATCCCCTTCCTCAAAGTCCTGACAACTGGTCCTGTGAACAGGAAGTAGAGTTTTGTCTGCTTCCTTTGTTTTCTCTGAGTGATTCACATTAGTACAAATACTTCAAGCCCAGTGCATTCTGGGAAGTGAGGATTCACAGGATGCATCTCCTCAGTCAAAACTGCTTCTAGGAACCCTGGAAAGCCCCCATGCCACCTCTATATAGGACATACTAATAAAGCAGATGTTTTCTAGTTTTAATTTTTTGTGTACTCTCAGATGGATTCAGCTAAACATATCTGAGCTTTATTCATAATTGCTACAGTAGGTAATTTGTGCCTGTGGTAACAGTAATTTAGAGCTGTTAATGAAAATGAAGATGAATTAAAAAAAAAAACTAACTGAGGCTGAAGTGAAAATATGGAGGATTCACAAGTGAACTGTGTCTCAGTTTTCTTTGCTATTCCCAAGGACAAATATTACTTTGGTTGAAATAAGAAAAAAAATACATTGTCACACGGTCTCATACTGTACATTTTGTAAACATACCTGCAGCCCCTCAATAGCCAGTTTGAGGATTGAAGGTGTCAGTTTGGAGGCTTGTTTGAAGGAAAAATTACTCCAGTCTATAATTAAAATGAAACCATTTATCTGAAGCTCTGGATCTTCAATAAGGACTTCCAGGGACAGCAGGATGGCACGGAGGATGTCTGTGAAGGAGTTCCTGCAGCCAAAGCAGAAAGGAGAGGCTGTGTGTGAATATTAGCAGGTGATGTGTGTGTAGAGGGCTGGCTGCCTCACACCACTGCTCTGTGAACCTGACCTGCAAGATAACATGGGCATTCTTTACCCAAAGTGATAAAAAATACATTTGCTAAACTTCACAGGAGCAATACTTCAAGACTCACAGAATGGAAGCCTCCCTTTGACCTGACTCCATTAGCACCCCCAAACTTTTTGAGGTATCTCTCTATAGTGCTTCCATTGGCTTCCATACTCTGCTTCTGGAACAAAATTGATTGCATTTCACTGAAATGCATCCCTTATCTCTCTCTCACAGAGCTCTGTTAACTTCTAGGGCAGGCACTGGGCCATAATCATAGTTGTGTTCTCAGCACCTAGCTTCTCAGTGAATCATTGCTGAACAAATGAGGCGAGACCTCAATCAAAGGCACTTATTTTGATTAAACCCCTTCTTCCTTTTGTACATTGAAAATCTTGCTAAAAGTATAAAAACATCCATGCAACTGATACTATTTTTTTTTTTTTAGCTTCAACTCTTGGATAGAGAAAAATAAAACAGAGAGAATAGCTTATTTTCATTGAAGGTTTGCAGAGTGTGATTCAGGAGGGAAATCACTTTGAGTACATCAGTAACTATGACAACAGGCAGACCTGAATACAAATGAGAGTGACAGTTCTCCAGTGTTGTATGTGCTCCTCCATGTCAGGTATTTTCATTCATCAGATGATTTTTGCATTAAATAATTTTCAGACATGAAGAAATGATGGCATTTTCGTTCTGCTAATTCTCCCAACAAGTTATCTGAACTATAAATCTAAAATCTTAGAGGATCTCTACATTTGGTGTCTTTTTTGGTAAGTAGGAAAATAGAAGCTTGGATGGCAAGTGATGGCAAAATTCATTACTTCCTTTGAGCTACAATTAAAATCATAAGGTATCTCCTCTTGTGAAATAAGTGTGAAATTATCAGGTTCTTGAGAAAGCATTTCAACCTGGTTCAATTCTAACCAACTCTAATGATTCCAGATTAGAAATCAGGAAGTTTGTGATAGAACAGTAAGTCAATAAGAATTTATTGAATGTCTATTATAAGCTCAGCACTGTGTTTTATACTTAGGGATATAAAATAGTGTGTTTTATTTCTATTTTCAATGAGCCCTTGATTTAGTTGGGGTGGGCCAGGAAATTAGCAACTTGTGTTGAAAGGGATCAATAAAATTGAATAGTCAGGGAGGAGTTTATGGAGGGATAAAAGCTTGGGATAAATAGAATTTTGATGGATAATTGGAAGAAGAGGGAGCAAGGCATTTCAGGAAAGACAAGTGATGATAATTGAAAAATAAAGATATACAGCCCATTCTGCTTCTGTACAGTCTGTTTATTATTTTTTTTCTTTGTATCAAGCTAAAATTTTCCTCCCCTAGATCTACCTATTGGGTATAGTTCTACAAAAGAAAAAGCTCAGGCCTACATAGCTTCAACTATGTAAACACAGCAATGATGCCCTATGTAATCTCTAGATTAAAAAAAAATTACTCGGGCAGCCCGGGTGGTTTAGCGGTTTAGCGCCACCGTCAGTCCAGGGTGTGATCCTGGAGACCGGGGATCGAGTCCCACATCAGGCTCCCTACGTGGAGTCAGCTTCTCCCTCTGCCTCTTTCTCTCTCATGAATAAATAAATAATCTTTTTTTAAAAATTAGTAAATTTAACCATTTCTTATAGGAAATGGTTCTTAATACTCTTATCATTACTGTTTTCTTTCAGATGTGTTCTCTTTTAACTTTAAGAGAGATCAAATTTCTATTAATGTAGGATAGGTTTTATTAGGACTTTGTTTTTGCATCCACGTCAAACATAGTAGAAAAACCAAAGTCTTTTTCAGACATACAGCTTTGTATTGGGACATAACTTTATATGGAGCATGGAACTAAAGATAATGAAAATATTGAAATACTAATAGTAAACTGATAATGACCATTAGGGAATTAGAAAGTCTGACCACGGATAAGCTTTCTTTGGAAGAACACACATGTGTAGAAAGTCAGGACTAAAAGATTAAGCCTTAAGTAGAGCTTATTTATAGTATTGAGTCAAAGGAAGAAGAATTAAAGAAGTAAGAGGTAAGAGGATCAAGATAGTAAAAAAAGAGAAAAAGTATTTCAAGAAATAAGGGTATGATAGATTGTAAATGCTACTACTTGTTCTCTTGCCTTTGGTCATTGCCATGGTAAAAAAAATATGCTACAGCTAGCATGATGGACTGAAGAGAAGGGTGAGGAACACAAATCAGTGAAACCACCTAGCCAACTAGCAGATCTTCATGGGAAGCAGAGCTACTCAGCTAAACTCAGGCTCGATAAACTCAAGCTGTCTCACAGATGCATGAGCAATAACTAATGGTTACTTTTTTCGGCCACTGAATTTGGGGCTGATTTGTTACACAGCAATGGCTGTCCAATATCAGAGGGTTAAGTTAACCAAGTCAAATGCAACAGCATAAATGAGAGATAGCATCTCTTCTCATCACTTATCCACTTGTATCCACTCCCAAGAAAAAATATGGAGCTCTGTCTGGAAATGTGGAAAACATTTTAGGCATTTTCAACACCAGGACCTTACTGCAGGATAGGCATTGTCAGTGAATGAAGTATTGTATTCATAGAATGATCTCAAGAGAAAAGTGAAAGGATTCTGGACTTCATTATAGTTTCCAAATGTTCCAATACTTCACTTTTCCAGAGGAACTGGATAAGCAGGAAAGAGTTGAATGGAATGTGTTTCAAGTCATATGGTTTAACCCCTGATGAGGAGTGCAATCTCACATCATACCTTAGCTATGATTCATTATCTTGAATTCTTGGCTTCCTCATATGGATTTCCCTCATCTTCCTCATTCCTCCTTACAACACTTTTGACTTGTGAAATCCTCCCAGGTTTTCATAATTTAAAAATACCTATCGGACCAAGTACTTTATGCAGATACTCTGCGCTCAAGGAGGTGGAACATAAATCCCCACTCCTTAAGTGCAGGTTCAACGTAGTAACTTCCTTCCAAAGAGTATAATATGGAAAGCGAAAAAAGAGTAAGTTTACCCTGGAGGAACCTGACAAACTATCTTGGGTAAGTGCTTTGGGCCAACATCAACAGAGTAACTTGTGTTGATAGTATCATCTCTTGATAGGGTAATGAAAATGGCACTCTGTCTCTGTGATCTTCCTCCCAAAAAAAACACAACCCCAGATTAATCAAGAGAAAAACATTAGATAAATTCCAATTAAGGAACATTCTATAAAATGCCTCACCAACATGCCTCAAAATCATCATTAAATCTTCATTAAAAAGCAAGGAAAGTCTAAGAAACTGTCACAACTAAGAGGAACCTAAGAAGACATGAAGATTAGATGTAATGTAGTATCTTGGGTGGGATCCTGGGACAGAAAAAAGATACCAAGTAGAAATTAAAGAAATCTAAATAAATTATGGACTTTGTAAATTAAAAGGTATCATTATTAGTTGTTAATAAATACACCAGAATTTGTTCATTCTATTAACTTATTTAGACTTTTACATTGTTTGATAACTCATAGAAAAAAATTATTTTCTGTATTGCCTGCAATCACAATTCTATCAGAGTATATTATCACTTGTATCAAAAGTAAGTGATGAAAAATGGATAGTTAGAGTTTTTTACCCTTTTCCTATAATTTTCATAGCATTTCTGTAGTCAGTTATAGATTGTATCAATTTTTGATTGATAAAAAAAGCACAGATTGCCAATGAAATATAAGGTAGAAAGCTTCAACTTCCCTTCCCCACAAAGTATAATATATTTATATTTATTAGGACTTATTCATAGTTTATCTAAGGGTTTTCATCATTATACAGGCAAGCACTTAGAGATTATAAATAGTGACTCATTTTTAGGATCTATTGTTTGTATGACCTGAGCACCCAATATTTTTACCTGAGGCTTTAAAATTTAGCAATAGCATAATACAAATGAGATGTAAAATAGTGGAAAATAGTAAGCCCTTTACCAATGAAAAGATATTCAAGCTTCAAGAAGTGACCCCTATGTGCTTTAAATTTTTAGTAAAGATTCTAGAACCTAGAACCTAGATCCTAGACTCTTATAAGAAAAAATATGTTATCTGTGATCAGATAACCATGTAGAGATGCAGTGGGGTTGCCAGTGACCTTGTTTCTTAGAAGAAGCAGTGAGAAGCCTCTTAATCATTCTGAAATCACAGGGCATATGATTATTGTAATTTTTCTGCTGCAATAAGAAGTCTCTTAATATTAGCAGTTAGAGCTGTTAGACCTGTCCTATCACAAAACCTCTCAATTTCATGCTCAATATCAAGTGTTTACAATTTTTTCCTTGAAAAATTTAAAAAGTCCTCCTTAAAGCACAAAAAGCTTTTCCAAATTATTAGCTACCAAATATCTATGTTTTATTCACAGATGCAGAAATATTGCACCTGAGCATGCTTCTTTATCTCCTCATCCCTTTGAAGCTTCTTTCAAAGTTATTAAGATAATCATGGCATGGTTCTTATAGTTACTGATTATGCTTTTTCCCTTTTCTGATGATGATGTCCAAGCCAATGTGGAGAGGAACATGTGCTCCAACTGTATCTCCTCTGACATATTTTGGCATCTGGACAGAGGAAGAACCCTATTTGATAAAGTAGCAAAAGGGCCTGTACCTCAGGGCTTGACATCCAGACTGCCACCCACCAAGTAAGTGTCCACTCATAGAAGGTTGAAATTCAGTAAAGGGTCATTTCCTGCTCGTCCATGTAGAGTGTTGTTGCAAGAATCATGCAAAATGATGTGTGAAGAAGCTTTGTGAATTGGAAAGCGCATCCTAACAGGAGGCAGTATTTGTACTTGCATGAATTATAGGGATAACCCTCTTGGTCATACTGCTTTCATGGTGGTGATGGTAGCAGGACAGTAGGTGTATAAAATTCA